ATTTATTAATCAAAGGCGTACATTAGAGCTTGACTGTGGTTTCTCGGAGGTGGAGCTAATCTTTCTGCTCAAGGGTGCAGGTGTGCTTTCAGGGTTGAAGGAAGGGCTTTGCCACGAGACGGTGATGCATCCCGGCACCGGTTCGAAAACTTGTTTTGGGCCGGAGGGTGGTGGAGCCGCTAAGCCTCTTCAAGGTTCCGGTTCTGTACGGCTCTCGGCGGGAGGCGAGCATTTCCTGTAGTGCCTCCAAGGAGTGCCTCTGAGAGAGGCTTCAAATGGCAAGAACAACAAACATGAGCACCGGACGTCCATCGGAAGAGCTACAGTCGACGCACAGCGACACGGCAGGATCAGCTTCAGCTTCGGGCTGCCCTATGCAAACCGGATCGGAGCATTGAGCAGGCGTGCGCTTGCCACCTTTATGCGCGACAGGCTCTTCATAATATGCTACTACCATACCTCCCTGCACCAGACGAACGATGAGAAATGCATGTCCTGAGCTTCCTGGTTTTTCAAGACTGAGCAGCAGCAACAGCGGTAAGAGCGTGCTTTTTAATTTAGTAAGTTTAGTGGAAACGAACGAGAAACTGTGGCAGGCTACCCATGAACCCACCTGGACGGATCAGCGCATGATGCTAACCACAGGCTGCAATAAGCTTCGATTCCCTCCTGGCCCCTGTCTGCTGCCCCGTCGAGTCTCACCAGCATTTCACACATGCTACAGGGTCTCGAGAAATGTACACTTCACACGGGCGAGACATGGTATGGAACTAGAGGATGTGAGATCGTGCGGTGTAGTGCCAGTCCTTGCTGCCGCCCTTTGGTAGCGTTTTGCAGCAGCGACCTCTGCCTGACCCAGCTCTTTTCACAGCTTCGGTCAAAATAGCTTTGCATCACAGCCTCTTATTGCATGCTCCGGGGTTCTTCCTTCTTGCTCCAGGCGCTCTGCAACAACAGTCGAAATTAAGACTCCTCCGGGCAGCCTCGAAAAACAACATAACAATTGTCACGATAGCAATGCAGAGAACAACAGCCAGATATATCATTATTCCCGAGAGCTCGGCGTCGGGTTCTTGGTTGGAGGTTTCGTCGGTTAGTATAGAATCATTTAGTTTTTAACGAAGGGTCCAAAAAGTGGCTTGCACCTCGGTTTTCTTACGAGGGATTCTGCAAAGAAGTGGGTCAGGTGAACGGCTCTGTAGCGCCGTTGCTACTGCTTTGAAAGCGAATGCGGCACCCCTGATGTTTACAGAAAACGACGAAATACGGGCCCGTGTTTCGCACATTGCCAGGAACTACACATAAGGCCTTGTGTGTTGGCGGTGGTATGCTGTAGTTGTTAACACAGATTCTTTACATGTGTCTTGAGCGTAAAATTACCTAGAGTCCCTCCGTTTAACATGTTTCTAAATCAATACGAATATTGAAGTTGTGATGGACAGGTGCATGTTGTGAAGTGGAGTTGTCGGTGCAACTCTATTTAGGGGTGCATCCCTCCGGGCTGAGGGCTCAGGTCCTAGGCTCTTCCCGCCGGGGCGCAACACTGAATGTTACACATCCCGGTGTCTGTCTGTTTCACGTATCACGTGCATGTATCCATGCCTGTTGCTCAAGGTTCTAGCACAATACGATCTACAGCTGTTCGCCCGTAGCAAGAAAGAGACTCCTGCTTCACGGCAAGCCGCCGGCGCAGTAGGGGGCGAGGCCCACTGACAAAGCAGCTGGAAATTCTCATGCCCGCGATTTAGCTTGAACTGTTGGAGTACGCTGTCAGCTTTGTTGGCGACGGGCTGCCTTGTCGTGGCATCATTGGCATCTCAACCACCCTCCATTTGTGGAGCCTTGGGCTGCTCCAAAGGAAGTGGGCTCTAATCATTAAATGAGCAAGGGGGCTCTGCCAAGAAACCCCCGAAGGCCCTCCCAATTGTGTTCGTTACTGTCCTGTTACCGACGGGGTCAGGCAGTGCCAGGAGTGACGGCCCACATGACCTGAGCTGGCCCTGTCGCACTGAGGCCGAATGGCCAAAGACACCAGAGTGATTGTCGTGTTGAAGCAATTGCTCAAGACTGAAGCAGTTCTTCTTCATACAGGGGTTCAATGGCCTTGGAGATCAGGACCAGTTCTGTTTGTTCTTGTCTTTCAAAGGTATTCTGTCTTTCTTTTTGCTCACGGTTGATGGCTAGCGCGAGGCCTCAGAGCAAAGTGCCACCGGCCTTGCTCCGAAAACGGATGACGGAGGTACCTGGGATATTCGCATGGGCAGTCCCCTCGTGCCAGCTGCCACAGACTGGGTCTGTGTTTGTGTTTGTGTCAGATATCAGAGGCGGGTATGTCTGTCGCTAAGTGCGCGCCGGGGGTCTGCTGTTCTTATTATTGCCTTTGTTTACTTTTGACCCAGGTCGGCCCCAAGCACAGACCTAAGCCTATGCTGGAGGGCATTTATTTACTCTTTCAGTGAAGCCGACATCTGCCTCTAGGGTGGGTGATGGCCCATAATGCCATAGTTGCGTGCAAAGGCCCGAAGACACAACAAGTGGGCATGGCCGAGTGTTTCAAGCACTTGCAGGCCCCCCACAGGATTTTGGCTCAGGCTCCGTTCAGACTGGCTCCGGCCAGCTGCCTTGCTGCTAGTCCGGTTTTTGTTTTGTTTGCTTGCTTACTTCTATGGGTCTCTAGGTCCAGGTGCGCAGGGCCTCCAGGAAAATGCCATTCGGAATAGAGCCGAAGTCGTCTTAAATCAGCAGTGAGTGCTTGGTGAGGTAATACGCCCGCCACGTGCAGAGCCCACTCGCGCAGCATGAAAGTGAAGTTGATTGTCGTTGTCGTTGTTGTCGTTGTCGTCGCCGTCGTGGTTGTGGTTGTGGTTGTTTGTGGTTGTCGCTGTCGTTGTCATCGTCGTCGTTGTCGTCGTCGTGCATGCATGCAGGAACGTATATCCTGCATACATATATCTTCGGTTCGTCAATCGCTTTCGGGACACCCGGGCTTTAGTTCTAGTTTTAACAATCCTAAGCCCATGTAACAGTGGGACAGAAGAGAATCAGCAAAAGTAGCCGACATCGCAACCACTGACAAGATCTAACAAGAACGACGCGAAGGAACCTAGTTCGTCAAAACTCTCTGGTGCTTGGGCTCTGGTCCTACTCGTCATTGAAATGATTGTTACCAGCAGAGAGTGGAGGACATGATTAGAGTGCACAGCCTTAAAGGTGCTAGCGACCCACTGGTGGCGGCTGGGAGTTGGCCAAACAAGCGACAACTTCACCGTGACTCTAAATTGGACCTGTTGCACGAACCCTGGCATGTCAAAGGCACAACAGCTGCATGATCCTCTCCGATCTCTCTCAGTCAGTAGACGGTCACACAGCGTGGCGCCTTGTACTCCGTACGCAGCAGGCGAGACTCCGCACTCGAGGATGATTGAAGGTCCTGGCGGTCCTGGCCAGGTCAGGCTTGCAGATGCCGATCTAGGATCTGAGGTTGCGGGTGTTTCAGCTGCAACGAGCCTCGTGCATAGAAGCCTTATAGATTTATCGGGATTATGCCGCAGCCTGCAAAGCGTATCCTTCTACAGCTCCCATGATCTGGCATGGGCGATGATGACGAATTGCATTGCAGTCGCCTGTGACAAACCTGTACAAGACAAGGTAAGTGTCCAGTTTCTCAATTCCGCGCCCCACGGAGAGCCAAAGAAGCACCATCATCAGCAGCATCAGTAATTCAGCCAGGGATAGGCTGACAGCGGGTCTGGACCTGCCCCTCCCCATACCTTCATCATTTTCATTGGCTTGGAGCTTGACCCCGCGCTGGTTTGTGTCCACCAATGTTTGAGCCGGCTGATCGAGCCGTCTCGGCAAAGGGAACCAAGCAAAGTCAAAAACTTCAGATAGGTCTGAGTTTTGCAGGGGCTTTTCTTTGAAACCTTGCGGCAAGAGCGAAACCAGCTGCGGCCTCGTACAGGAATGTCAGAAAGACGGATCGAAACAAGCATGGGTTGCGACAAATCGCCAAAGCAAAGCCAGCATGCCACGCAGGCGAAGAATGGCGAATGACTCCAAAGGATTGCGCCTCGCTACCGTCTCTCATCATTCTAGATTGCTGTATGATCCTCGACTTCCCCGCCAACCGTGCAAGTGTCCGTTGCTGTCGGTTTGCTGCCAGGTACTTATTGAACAGCCGCGTGCAGGGCAATTCGTCCTTCTCCTGGAGTTGTCGGCGCTGCATCCCTCGCAGAGCATGCTCCGATTTGGAGAGCTCGCGTTGCAGCTTGAAAACCTGCTCAGGCTGGGGCCAAGGCTACCTGCGACAGCAAATGCACGCAGGTGCCTTTTTGACACATTAGCACCGTACCCATTTCGCAAATCAATACCAAGCCTTGACCCTCCAGTCATATCTACAATCACAGGCTGCTGGGACTTGACTGCGGCGCATAGTCTGCGCCAACCCTGAAATAGTCTCGCGCTGCAGGCCTCACCCACTCCGGGACCAGCTTTCCTAGCACGCATGAATCTGAAAGCACTTCAGCTTGCGGTCAGGTCTCGGAACGAGTGCTTTCTCCAGCGCAAGGGGATAACTGGGATAACTGACATGACATCCTAAAAGCTCACCAGGCGAGATGCAGCATCTGCGGAGGTACAGATCAAGACTTGTCCAGAGGCAAAACATCCTCTGCTGCAAGCAAGGTTCTTCACCTGCAGTTCCGCGGCTACCCGCTTCCTCAAGAGTTGTTCGGTGGAGAACTTCGTCTGCAAGCGATCCTTCTCCTGCGCGGCCTGCCCCAAGACACGTCGTCCATGGTCGGCCCGTGTAAGACTTACAATCAGCACCAGTGCAGTTGCCAGGAACTTCACGAAGCAACTTCTTCGATAACATCGGTTCAGGATTTCGACATTGGGATTGCTGAATCGTTGGCAGGTCCAAGGGCCGTGATGGTGGGCAGCGCATGAAACGAAACTTTACATGAACTGTTTCTAGATTCTAGATCCTGCTGGCGGGCGGTGCTCTGATCGGCGCAGCATTGCCGAATGTGCCGATTTGATTTCAGTTGCTGCAACCGTTGGGCGCAAGGCCACTCTGGTGGCAGGACAAGCCCGACTGTCGAGCGTACCTCAAAAGCGACAGACCGACGACATCAGGACATGGAGATGATGAACAAATTTGTGGGGGGAACAAGCCCTGGACCTTGATTTTGAGGAACCTCTGCGCCGTATGCCGCACACGCTGTACAGTTCATTGGCATCAATGAGCTTTCTGTGTCGTACTAGCAATTGGATGGGATGCATGTTGGCAGCTTTCTTTATATGTGAAGGCCTACTAGTAACAGATTTCAACACGTGTTATTCAGGTGCTGTCCAACCCTATGATTGTCGAAGGTTCTGAAAACATTTGATGCCGCTCGATGCCGTGTTGCATCTGTTAGCATAGCGGCACCGTGATGCGTCGTTGGACATCATGCACGCAGCAAGGATGCCCATTGCCGTGCCGGTGTTGCGGTTTCGAACCAGCTTGCATAGCCGATTTCAGGCCGTGGGGAGCTCAAGTTTCGGAGCGACGGCTCAAAGGACCTCATGGCAGCTCGAAGCAGTCGCTTGTTGTTCACATTCGCTCTCGTAGAGCCAGTCATGGAGCCTTGCTCACTGTCTATCTTACCCACTCCCAACAACGACCACGACCACGGCCACCACAACGATGCGGACGATTATGACAACCGCGAAAAACAACTGCACTAATAACTACAGTACAGGCTATACCGAAACCAGCACAACGCTTCCCAATGACTCAATCTATCAGCAGGTAGATTAGCACGGCGCACATATCTCGCCTCGTCCAATCTGGCATATAGCTCTGACACTGTCTGAGCAGCAGCTCCAGCAGCCTGATCATGGACCGATGGATTTTTCGTCACGGATTCGATTGTCCGAAGTGCATAAAGAAACAAGACTTCGTGTATGCTGGGCTCGGAACCCACTATCTATAGTTAATCCCCACAAGCTTGAGACCGAGCAGCTAAGACTTGGACCTGGATTGTGAGACACGTAAATGCATGAAGCGTCGATTCCCGAAGACTTAGTGGCAAGCTAGGGCTTGATTCGCACAGGCACAGGGCCATGCTTTCATGTGAAAACAAAGCGACCGCTTCCGTTACCCATACGATGCCTTACGACTGACAGGGCGATCTGATCCGCAGCTTGCAGTCAGCCTTCTGCTCTTCGAACAGCGCGGCCTTTGCTGCAGCAGCCTGCCTCTGCGCCTGACATACGACTCAGGAACCACACCCGCATGAGCAGCGTGCATCTTGCCTCCTCCAGCTCTCCGCAAAGCTCGGCAACGGCAGGAGCCTCGGGGCTTGCCGACTTTTCCGTCCACGACTACAGTGTCTGCCAGCCTCGAAATCAACTTGTCGGACATCCGCTGAATTCCTTACCAGTGAGCGAAAGTCTGCAACTACAAAAGTGATTTCGCTGCCACATGTGACATCACCATACATCACCTGTACCAGTACTACTGGCGGAGCGCAGACAAACTCCAAATTTGCTAAAAGCGACAGAGCAGAGTCACTCACTAAAAACAAAAAGTAGTTGTCCCGGCAGAGCACAACGCTGGGTCGGATAGTGCAATGCGCGGAACTTCAAACTTGGCCGGAGGACTCAGGCGTGAAATGAAAAGAGATGAAGGCGACACTGTCAATAATGCGCAGCAAAACAACTCCCTTTCAAGAGCGAGGTCCGCGGTGTACTCGCGTTCAATACCTGCGATGAAGAGCAATGTCGGGTATGGCCCGGTATGGCACCTTAAAGCGAGTTGGTGCAAGGCACACATGGGCACACGCTCGCAGTGTCAACATCGCTTGAAAGAGTGCCACGCTGTGTTATTCAATTGATTGGACATTCCTTGCTTTAAGGGTGAAGCGGCAAACCCAGTGTGCAGTGGAGCCATCTTCTCGGAAGCAAAGTTGAAGCGCCAACGGCAGTTCTCTACAGTTCAGGAGTCATGGAGTCATTGCATTGGACTCCTGGCTCTTCAGTGCGTGCGGGCTCAGTGGCTGACTGTGCGCTGAATGCGCGGATTGCGCTGGAGTGCGCTTATTACGCCGAAATTGCGCTGTTTCTGCAATCGCGCCAGTTGCGCTGGGATTGGGCCGATTGCACCTATTCTCCTTTACTATGTATTTTCGTGATTGTCGCTGGGGCACCCTGAAAACGCAAAGTGGGCCAAGCGCGTTTGCTGACCCTGCCAGCATTTCATGCGCTTGCGTCTTCAGAACTCTGCACCTCCGTGACCAACTTTCCCGAACCCACAACCAACGATTAACTGCACCCTGCCGTCCCCCCCGACACTTTGCCCATTTATCAGAACTCTTATCAACCTTGAACTCGGAGGGTGGGTCTTGGACTGATGGGGCGCACCGGATGTTCGCTTTCAAAAGTTGGGCTGGCAGGGAGCAGGTGAGGGCTGATAGGGCGTCTGAGTTTATCGGGCTTTTCGAGTCTAGCGGGGCGCGTCCGCTGTTTCCCGCAGGGCCGAGGTCCTACTGCCACCACAGAGGGCTGGTTCAGGGAGGAGTAGCCTTGTTCAGCGTCCGTATGATACAAGACATACTTGTTGCTTCGTCAAAGTTCGTCCACATCCATCGCTACTTGGAGTCATCCATCATGTGACGAGAAGGATGTCAGCTACATGCTCGGCGCGAAACCAAAAGACTGCTCGGTGCGGCATTGCCTGGAACACTCTGAAGGAAACCCAAACGTGTTTTAATTCAGCCGAAATCTGCCATGAGCACAGCAGAGTTGAGCTCAACGTCATCACATGAGCCAAGTCACGTGGCACTCTTGGCAAATGGCTGCGGTGCCGTCGCCGGCCGCAATGGTCGGCCACCTGCGGTACGGCGGGTGGCGCTTTAGCTCTGGGGCCTTCCATTGCGTCGTTTCCTTCTGCTTCGAATGCCTAAGGCATTAACAGTTTTGGCAGGAGTCCACAGGTCCTGCAGTAAAGCTCACAATTTGTGTGAAATGATCGTCGTAATTGCGATGCTGTGCGACAGGCAGCAGGCACGCGACATGGGTAGAACTTAAAAGATGCTCAATACTCAGTCATACTCAGTCACTTAGGCCTGCATCCTTGATGCTCGCGTTGGCAAACAACACGGCGTCCTTGAACAAAAACACTGACATCTTTTCATAGCTGCGAACGCTGCAATACCTGCCTGCTCCATCTCTTCCCGTTTCGCCGAGGTCGGACCAGGTTTGGGACGGATGCTGTCTCCTTGTTGGTTGCCATGGCCATGTGAACTCATAGTCCCATCTTGGCCTCCACCTTTGCGCGGCATCACAACTTCTGTATCAAAAGGCCTTTGTTGCAAACGGACTGTGCCCCGGCCCTGCTCACCTGTCGTATTCAAGCATTCTTCTTCTTTCTGAGCATGTGCAAATGCTGCCGTGGTTGTCTGCTCAGCCTGGCATTCCTCCGCTTGCGGCTCTGCTCGCGCAGCGGATGCAGCCTCTGTTTTGAGAGCAGGCTCGTCAATGCTGGGACGCTCCCGCTATAAAGGCTGCTGCTCTGGCGCATCATGGCTGTGTCGCACGGCCAGCGCTGCACCTACGAGTGCTTCGGCGTTATCAGAAACAACCAGATTGTGATCCACCTGGGCCTCCCGATCCTGCCCACACGGTGCCGTTCCACCCTTCTCATCGCGGGGTATCTCTTCCGCTTCTGCCTGTGCCGTGTGTGATCCATGCTCCGTTGCATCAGGTCGGGGACGTGTGCCGTCTTGGTGTTGGCTGTGCTGTGCTTGCGATCTGTCTGTCACGTCCGTCTCATCTTCATCTGCAGCTGTGCGAGCCAATGCACCTTCTTCAACAAGTTCAACAGGATGTCTCCTAGACTCGGTTGAAGTTTGGGTTTCTGCGGTCTCTGCACCCGCCGTATTCCAGCGTGCTGCTTCGTTCTGAGCCTGCCCAGATGCCGCCGTGCTTGATTCCTCCGCTTGCGGCTCTGCTCGCGCCGCGGATGCTACCTCGGCATTGGCAATTGGATCATCCATGCTGGGAAGCTCCTGCAATAAAGGCTGCTGCTCATGCGCACCATGGCTGTGTAGCGCGGCCGCGGCTGCACCAGCCAGTGCTGCGGCATTATCAGAAACAACCAGATTTGCATCCACCTGGGCCTCCCGATCCTGCCCACACGGTGCCGTTCCACCCTTCTCATCGCGGGGTATCTCTTCGGCTTCTGCCTGTGCCGTGTGTGATCCATGCTCCGTTGCATCAGGTCGGGGACGTGTGCCGTCTTGGTGTTGGCTGTGCTGTGCTTGCGATCTGTCCGTCATGTCCGTCTCATCTTCATCTGCAGCTGTGCGAGCCAATGCACCTTCTTCAACAAGTTCAACAGGATGTCTCCTGGACTCGGCTGAAGTTTGGGTTTCTGCGGTCTCTGCACCCGCCGTATTCCAGCGTGCTGCTTCGTTCTGAGCCTGTCCAGATGCCGCTGTGCTTGATTCTTCCGCTTGTGGCTCTGCTCGCGCCGCGGATGCTACCTCGGCATTGGCAATTGGATCATCCATGCTGGGAAGCTCCTGCGATAAAGGCTGCTGCTCATGCGCACCGTGGCTGTGTAGCGTGGCCGCCGCTGCACCCGCCAGTGCTTCGGCATTATCAGAAACAACCAGATTTGCATCCACCTGGGCCTCCCGATCCTGCCCAAACGGTGCCGTTCCACCCTTCTCATCACGGGGTATCTCTTCCGCTTGTGCTTGTGCCGTGTGTGATCCATGCTCTGTTGCATCAGGTCTGGGACGTGTGCCATCTTGGTGTTGGCTGTGCTGTGCTTGCGATCTGTCCGTCATGTCCGTCTCATCTTCATCTGCAGCTGCGCGGGCCAATGCACCTTCTTCAACAAGTTCAACAGGATGTCTCCTCGACTCGGCTGAAGTTTGGGTTTCTGCGGTCTCTGCACCCGCCGTATTCCAGCGTGCTGCTTCGTTCTGAGCCTGTCCAGATGCCGCCGTGCTTGATTCCTCCGCTTGCGGCTCTGCTCTCGGCACGGATGCTGCCTCGGTATTGGGAGCAGGCTCATCGATGCCAGGACGCTCCTGCGATACAGGCTGCTGCTCATGCGCACCATGGCTGTGCTGCGCGGCCGCCGCTGCACCCGCCAGTGCTTCGGCATTATCAGAAACAACCAGATTTGCATCCACCTGGGCCTCCCGATCCTGCCCACACGGTGCCGTTCCACCCTTCTCGTCGCGGGGTATCTCTTCGGCTTCTGCCTGTGCCGTGTGTGATCCATGCTCCGTTGCATCAGGTCTGGGACGTGCGCCGTCTTGGTGTTGGCTGTGCTGTGCTTGCGATCTGTCCGTCATGTCCGTCTCATCTTCATCTGCAGCTGCGCGAGCCAATGCACCTTCTTCAACAAGTTCAACAGGATGTCTCCTGGACTCGGCTGAAGTTTGGGTTTCTGCGGTCTCTGCACCTTCCGTATTCCAGCGTGCTTCTTCTTTCTGATCCTGCGCAGATGATGCCGTGGTTGATTCCTCCGCTTGCGGCTCTGCTCTCGGCACGGATGCTGCCTCGGTATTGGGAGCAGGCTCATCGATGCCAGGACGCTCCTGCGATACAGGCTGCTGCTCATGCGCACCATGGCTGTGCTGCGCGGCCGCCGCTGCACCCGCCAGTGCTTCGGCATTATCAGAAACAGCCAGATTGCGATCCACCTGGGCCTCCCGATCCTGCCCACACGGTGCCGTTCCACCCTTCTCATCGCGGGGTATCTCTTCCGCTTCTGCCTGTGCCGTGTGTGATCGAGGCCCTGTCGCATCAGGTCTGGGACGCATGCCGTCTTGGTGTTGACTGTGCTGATCCTTTGTAAGCATGTTCGTCCCTTCGTCTTCTCCAGACTGTTGCCGGAACAACGGGGCTTCGCTCCGGGCATCCGGGACTTCTGCGCCTTCCTTTGTGACGGCAACCTGCGCTCGTTAAATGGGTGCAGCATTGCTTGCAGTGTGCAGTCTTATGCAGCTCCCTGCAACCTGGTAGGTAAATGCTTACACACTATCTCCTGAAAGGGAAGATTCGCACTTCGAGTATGCGCCTCTTCCTGTTGCAACCGCCCAGCTTTTCCTGCAACCAGTGCCATGACCCTTCTAGACTCTAGACTTCTAGCGTCTGCCCCTGTAGTACTGTAGCAGTAGTATCATCTAGCAGCACTCAGGAAATCACCCCGTCCTCCGTCCTGACTTTCTTTGGCTGCTTGGTTCAAGCTGTCCACCTGTGCATGGAGTCGGAGGATGGAAATCTAGGAATATGTTGTCATCTTTGTCATTCCTCCTATCGAATGCTTATCATCAGTTGACACATGTCTTCTATCGTCCACGCCTTCCCCGAAACCAAAATCCCGTTACCGAAACGTTGAAGACATGACAGACGGTTCTAAGGCTGAGGCTTCAAATACATCGTTTGCAGTTAGCTTCGCGCCCCTTACCGGTGCTGTACTTGGCATGTCTTGGCATGATCGTTGATCGGAGGCATGCCGGTTCTAGGACGACAAACCAGAAAATCGACAGATCAGTTCGCCACCGCCATGACCAAGATGAACTTTCACATCAGCAGTTTGAACCGGCAGCCGCAAATGTCGATATCGCTGGATAGCGATTTCCACCCGACTAGTGGTACAGTTACGGGAAAGCAAGCGCTCACGAGAAGTTAGAAACTAACTGTGCTTGTCCTCGGGAACCGTGCTACATCCACACACAAGCACATAGCGGGTTGTGCGGTGTGGCTGAAACTGTGTCGTATCGGCACTTCAACTCCAGCCTGCCTGTTTGGGCATGGTTTCCCGCTCGTCAGAAGCATCGGCCAGCAGATCCATTTTCTGCGGTGTGGTTTCTTGCTCAGCAACCGATCT